TCCCCCTGAACATGAATTTGCATAGCTCCACATAGACCATCTCAGTGTCTGTGGTCTTACTGACCTTAGGGACAGGAAAGGGATCAAGATCTGAACAAAAAGGGACTCTAGTGGTGCCCTGGATGACAGCGCCCCTGGGGCCTGCAGCTTGAGTGTGGTCAGTGGTCTCAGGTGAAGTGGTCCATGGTGTCTGCTCCATCTCTAGAGGGCAATAGCCCTAAGTCATAAACCGTCTCCCTGCACAGTATGGCACATCTGCCAGACTCAGCATCCTACATGCTCTGTTTATATCTGTCTTGGGATGGTCCATGGGAGGAAAGATCATCCCACTGGATGGCAGATATTCAAGCCATTTTATTGGATTCTATCTTTTGTTCTTATGTGATACACACACACACACACACACACACACACACACACACACACACACACCTTTTATCTGATTGAATTTATGTTTTTAAGCATTTATCTACAGCTTATTTCAGAGCTTAATATTTATGTATCTCAACAGATAGAAAAAGAATAGATGCAGCCATATTCAATTCTTTATGCAGGGGTTCCTACCACCTTAGAAGAAAGGAAACCAATATTATCTTCTTTTAGTACTAATTTCTATTGAATGTGACAACAATCCTTCCTAGGCATAGTCAATTCAGTGCCATAAATAGGTCACATTTTACTAACAGCTCTGGGTACTGAATCGTGAGTGAAGAGAACTGTCAACAAGCAAAACCAGAATCCATCAGGAACTGGTTGTGTGAACCACTGTGACATTTACAGCGTCATAATCTGATACCTATTTAAAAAAATAGCTTAAGTTTTGATTCCCCAGCTAGTTTAAATGATCAAATATGAGGCTTTCTGGGCCCAGGATGCTGTTGGTATTCAGAAGGTTTTGAGGAATCCAGGCTTATGTGGAACATGGAAGATGAAGATAAAGTTTCCTCAAGTTAATTATTGAAATGTTTAGAGAATCATCGTAGCTAAAAAATCTAACTCTGGCTTTTTTTTTTTCCCACTGTAAAGCTATCTAGTTCTCTTACTGAAAACAATTTAAGATTTGGTATCAAAAGAACATTTCCATTCATTTTTAAACAGAAGTCTCATAAATCTTGGTGGCTTCTGTGCTATGACCCACAATAAGAAATTAATGGGAGGTTGGATAAAGGCTGACACCTGGTTCTCCATGTTTCCTACTATTTATGTGAAAAATCTGCTTCCACATTACCTCTGAATAGGCAAATAAAAGTCCTCCCTACCACGTGCAAGAATATTTGATTAATGAGTAACTACAATTAAGTGAATTGCTACGTGTAAGGTGTTTTGAATAGTGTCTGGCACGTAGTGTTATGTAAGTGCTGATAATCACACTTATTATCATCTTTGTCAATGCAGATTTTTAGATTAGGACACAGTTATCAGGGTAATCTCATTTGTCTGGGCCTTCTAGCAAAACAAAACCTATAAAACCTGGGACTCATGGTGGACTAGGGACCAAGTCTGCATTCTTTTCTTATTTTTTGATCATCGATTTTGAATTTTTAAAATTACTGATGTGGTTTATACATTCATTGTTTTATATTCTATGTGAAATAATATTTTAACTAAATAAAATTCTCAAACTCTGAGAATTAATTTTAAAATAATTTCACTATTTTGATTAATGAAGCTATATGCGATGACTTGGTGACATCTTGAGTTTCACTTACAGCAATAAACCTCATTTGTGGGTGAGTTTATATGGGTGCATATGGGTGTAATTATCTGTCCAGCTTCTATGTGTGTGAATCTAGAATGCCCTGTGGGTAAGCTTGAGTTCTTCCTTTGTGTTTCATAAATTCTGAGCACTGCTCACATCTATGAGATTATCTGTGCCAAAAATAAAAAATAATTAAGAGACAGAGAATGTTTTCCATAGACTTTTAGTTATTGAAAAGTATGTTCTCTAGAGGCCTTTCGTGTGTGTATGTATGTGTGTGTATGAATGAAAATATCATATATTGATTTATTTAATCTTATTCTGTGGTTACTTAAAGAGAACTTTTGGGACTAGTTTTAGTTGTGCTGAATGAAACAAAAAAATAAGTTTTGTACTTCTTCAAAATGGAAATATTTTTGCAAATATTTCTGGGCTTTAGCATGCTGTTAACCTAGGATCTGCAGTGATACCTCTGAAAACAATGGTATAATTATTCGTTTAATTACATAAAAGTATAATAAATGAACACTGCCTCTTTTAATTTTCAGCTTTACCTACAAGGTCATCTCTACTAAAACAGTTTGAAATTTACCATGGAGTAAAATGATAATTGGGGAATATACTGTCAGGAGTACAAGTGATTTTAAATCTAGTTAATTCATAAACAAAAATTAACTTAAATTTGTTCTTCTCAATAGCAATATCTTTGGCTTCATGTACAAATCATACCCAAAGTTTTGGTCATAATCTTATTAAATATAACAGACCATATTTTTTGTAATTAACCACTTAAGATGCTTTAAAAGTTTAAATGGTTATCTAAAACAAATCAATTAGCAAAATTTTTGTTTACTTTTATGTTATTAAATTGTCTTAACAACATAGTGGAAAGGTCAGCATTTATCAAGCAGTTGATCTATTATAAAATATTTTTTAAATATTTCATAGAAGAGTTACGCCTTGAATTCGTTACAACTGTCTGTTGTTTCTTTTACCTTAATAGTTTCCATATTTAAGTAATTCTGCATTACTTTAATGAATAAACTCTGTGTTTTAATTATAGAGAAATGTAGGTAGATTTTCTTGCTTCATAAGGATTCTGCCCAGTAAAAATTACAATAGGCTGCTTCACTGCTGTCATTTCATCAAAGCTAAAGACACACACACACATGCACGCACACACACACACACGGAGTTCATCAGGCTGTTACACTGTCAACGTGTGTGATGAGCTGAGTGTGTGTGAGTGTGTGTGTGTGTGTGTGTGTCTTTGTGTATGTCACACCCTCTAAATTCAGGTGGCCTCAAGCTGTGCCATATAATTCCAGCCTCAATTAAACTTTCCAAGGTCAGCAGTGCTGTACCAGGTCAGACATAAATAAGGCAGAGGATAGTCCTAAGGTACAGAAAAGCCATATTTATTCTTTATCCACAGTTCACGGCTATCAAATGAGCCTGGCAGAGAGGAAAGACAGAGGAAGAAAGGAGAACTCTCAAAAATGTACTTGTAGGAAAAAAAAATCAGCATGTGAATAATTCAAGACATAATGAACTAGTAGTGGGTGTGTGTATTTTTTTTTTCTTCTAAAAATACAACTTTAACCAGAACCCAGTAGAGAATATGATGGTATGACTCCAAATCATGAACCCAGAAATTAAGAGACCCAATCTCTAATTTTCATTGTACCACTAGCCAGTATAGTAATCTTAGATACGTATTTTATCACCCTCAGTTTCCTCTTCCATAAAACAAGAAATTTAAAGCAGATAAATATATTGAATCTTCAAGTTCTAAATTGTACTTTAGTCTAAATTCCACTTCAATAATATTGGCAAATAAAGTCCAATAAACTAAGTTAAAGACGAGAACTTGGCTGAAAGACCATATTTGTTCACATATAATATCCAGGGATTTTCAGAATATATAAAGAACTTCTATAAAAAAAAAAAGAAGACACACAAACTTCTAAAAAAATGTACAAATAAAATTAACAGGTAATTCACTGAAGAGGAAATCAGATTGGTCAATAAACACTTGGAAAGATGTCCAATCTCCTTAGTAAGTTGGGAAATGCAAATTAAACAATGTTGTACCATTTAACACCCACTAGTTTGCCAAAATTAATAAATACGACCATGTTGAGTTAGGGGTGAAATTTCCAAATTGTGCACAAGGCTGCCATAGCATCACAGAAAACTCACTGATGCACTACAGGATATTGAGAAATTGGGGAAGAAAACACAAGAAAATCTTGGAGAAGTTTATGCTTTCTTACCTTGAGCAGTGTCAGCTTTAGATTATGCTACATTCTCTTCAGTGATGTCAGATCTTTTCAAAGCTACGTCTTCAGAGTTTTCTAGAATAAAGAAAGAGCAGAGTGACTTCCACAGTTTATTCTTCCCCTGCCAGGGCATTTTTTTCTTTTCTCAATCACAGCCAGATCAAACTTATTTAAAAGAAATTCACATCAAGAAACATTTCCCCCACTGTTTTTCAAAAAAAGTTCCAGCAACTTGCCTTGTAGGCCCCACCTAACACCAATACAAGCTATCTCTGAGTCTTCTAAACACACCTTTCCCTCTTCTAAATATTTAAACACTGGAAGGTAGCATGACATAGAAAACCTGCCACACTGGTCCCTGTTTCCTATTAAAATCACTTGGATAACTTGCAATTATCTCAAAGACAGTAAAGATAGTAATTATGGGATGGACACTCAGTCCTATGACAAGTCCAAGTTAGATTATATAACTCAACATCTATTGAGTTATTCATTAACTTATAAAGAGAAGAGGAAGGTGTGTCTTGCACTTTGTTTTGTGAGGTAGGTCCAATCTGTTTGCATCTCCTAGCTGATCTTTTCCTATCCAGAATTTTGGCTATATCTGCGAGAGAACTCAGCAGCAGGTATGCCAAGGTTCCTTTTCCAAGGGCTGGCCAGGGACTGTGCAAAATGAAAGCATCTCAGAAACTCCTTGGCACATACACTTGGAGTTTGAAGATTGCTGCAAAATTCACGACAGTCTTTGCACTGAGTGTACAGAAAGAAGCACAGAGATGCAAGGAGGAAAAAGGGGTAAAACTCAATAATGGTTATGAGATTATCAGTGAAAATCGGGGCTTTACAGTTGATATGATTCTTTTATAGGCTTGTTAATTTGATTATTATAGTAACTCAGTGAAGTCAGGAATAGGAAGGCTAACATTTATTATGGACATGTGATCACCAGGTACTCCGCTGAGCACATTACTTGCCTTAACTCATTTCAAACCTTGTGTGTTATCATTCTTGCTTTCTAGGTCAAGAGATTAATCTCTGGAGATGAGAGCTGATGTACCAAAGGCACAAAGCCATGAAGTGGCTGAGCGAGGACTCAATCCTAGAGTAATGCGGTGGGGACAGTGTTATTCTTATAAAATCTGCCACTGAAATTCTTGCAGGGAGAGAATTGTTGGGAGGATGTTTAGCTAAATGCCTCAGGTTTGCATCACATCACAGAAGAATTTGGACTTCTTAATGTCACGGAGCAGATGAGGTGATTAATAGTGGTATGAGAGAGAAGGAGGATACAGGAGACCCGTACAACTGTTCAGCATGTGATGGGCATCCTCACCCTAAATCATTATAGTCTATTAAACTTTTGAATGTGGTTTTGTGTTTAATTTTTGGAGTGGACACTGAAGAGTAAATTTTATCTTGGAGTAAAGGTACTAAGAATAGAGGACAGTGCTTTGAATGGTTATGGGAAAATGGGATGGGAGATTATCATCCTAGGGCCAAGATGATGTGAAATGAGTTCTGCTATGAATTCGATTTGACAATGAAATGCACTGAGTCACAGTACGAATTTTCTCTGGGTCACCAAACCACTCAGTGTTCCAGCCAGGATTTGAACCCATGAAGTCCAAGTCTAGAGTCAGTATGGTAAACAGTTATGCAATGGAGCCTCTCCAAAATTGTGGGATTCTTTTGCTTTTAAGAATTTGAAGAATTGTAATGCATAACAGAACAATTTTTGATCCAGTAATGAGAAGTCAGAGGTATGTCAAAAAGAAAGTTTTCCGTTGCCAAGCGGAATTGTGAATAATATGATGGACTTAAGGGAATTGGGATTAAAAATAAGGCAAACAAGAAGTGATTCTAGGGCCAGCCGAGTGGTACATTGGTTAGGAGTTGGCTTGGGATGCCAGCTCTGAGCAGCAGGGCCCCGGTTAGATCCCACATGAGGGGTAGTGACGCTGCACTCTCTACAGCTAAGATGGTGAACAACAGCTCAACCTGGAGCTGGGCTGCCATGAGTCACTGGTGATGGAGTAGGCTGCAGTGGGGCTGGCCAGCTGGCAGCTGATATGTGCTTTCGTGAGCTGATGTGAGCTGCTGTGAACAGCCGTCCAATGGCCAGAGAGCAACTGTCTCACCCAGGAAGAGTGCAATGATAATACCAACTTGGGCCAGTGAAGCAACGTCCTCCACAACTAGACTGAAGAACAAAAGGACAGCAACTTGCCTGTTCCCCTTCCCCCAACCCCCCAGCACTGTTCCCATTCCCTCAATTCCCCAACAAAAATCTTTAAAAAAAAGTGATTCCAAGAGAACCATTTTTATAAAAAATATGAAAAAATGATACCATATGGGAAAATTACATATTTACAAAATTATATATGACATATTTTTCCCTATTATAGGAATTTCCCCCAAAATTTCATTAGTGAAATCTACATCTAAGCAGCCGCTATATATGCTGATTAAGAGAGATGGAGGGGGAAGTAGAATATTATTAGGCAGAATTCTCTGCTTCTTGGATCTTGGCATTCAAAGGCACCCAACCATACAGGGAAAAGGAGTAAGGACTGGAGAGTAAATCTGGTTTGGCAGACTGGCTCAGTAGCCATTGTTGAGAAGAGCACATCAAAACAGTACTGGGTGGGCCGGCTGAGTGGTGTGTTGGTTAGGAGTTGGCTTGGGGCACCAGCTCTGAGCAGCAGGGCCCCGGTTTGGATCCCACATGAGGGCCAGTGACACTGCCCTCTACAGCTAAGATGGTGAACAACAGCTCGACCTGGAGGTGGGTTGCCATGAGTCGCTGGCGATGGCGTGGGCTGCAGCAGGCTGCCATGGGCTACTGTGAGTGGCTGGCAGCCAGCGTGAGTGGCTGGCAGCTGGTGTGAGCTGCCAAGAGCCGCTGTGAGCGGCTTTCCAGAGGCCGGCGACCGATCTGTCTCACCCGGGAGGAGCACAGTGATGATGCCAACATGGGCCAGTGGAGCAACGTCCTCCACAACTAGACTGGGGCACAAAACGACAGCAGCTTGTCTGTTCCCCTCCCCCAATTCCCCAATAAAAATCTTTAAAAAAACAAAACAAAACAGTACTGGGTGTGTGCAGCATCGATACATTCATCAGAGGCCATAATTATTCAGAATAGACACTGGACATTCTGGAAAATAAACAGCATCCTGAAGAAAGGCAGAATGGAACGAGTCATAATCAACATATGGCAGGACACATCTCTCTTTAGCGAAGAGGGAAGCACCTGAGTATTTCATATCCTTCAAATGTTTCCTTGATGAATGATGCTTGGCGCTCTATCCCAGAGGTATGCCATCACAGGATCTTTGTGCCTGCCCTAATCACAATTTAAACCTGTTTAGCCATGTTTGATGACAAAATAGAAGGAACAACTAGAAACATGCGTTCTTAGGATAATTCTGCACATTCCTAAACATTGGAAAAGCACCCTTCAGTTTTTGGTTTTCTTTTGTGAAGAACAAATAATCTCATCTCCTTTTATCTTTCCTCAGAGGTCCTATTTTCCCATCCTTTAATCATTTTTATTGTTTCCATCTGTACCTACTTTAGTTTTTCCTGTCCCTTTAAAAATGCGTATCTGCAAATTAGACACAGTACAACCAACATTGGATAGAACTAAAGTACCTACCGATCTAGTATTGGAATAACTATCTGTATCTGGATAAGGCAACATATAGGAAATGGTGGTAAGAGCAAGGGAAAAATGGGAAAACTCAACTGCTACCATATAAGGATATGTTCACATCCAGAAAGTATTTCTAAGTAGTAGGATTTGCCCTAAAGAGAAATGAGACAATGCAGAACAATATGAGAAAATGGCAGCTATGGAAGCTAACTTAAAAGTGAAGAACACAAAAATGATATCTATAAAATGATTACAGCTGCAAATGTATGCTGGCAAATAATAAACAGGCAAGCACAGAAAATAACATATACAAGGGGGAAACTTTTCTTAGAGTAGCATAACTGCCTTTTTTTCCATTTTAATTTTCCTGATTTTAGCAGTGTTGAGCATAGAATAAGTAAAACAATTTTAGAGGAACTATTTGGCGAATACAAACTAGAAGACTAGGGCACCTAATAATGTAATAATACTTAAGTACAGTTTAAAATAGGCGCAAACTGCATATAGATACAGATCTGTGCTTTTTAATGCATTTAGTAAATCCTATAAAGACCATCTACTTCTGCTATTCACACTTGTAATCGATAGAGAGTGAAAATAAGATGTAATCTGTAGTCTGGAATTCCTTGCTCTGTCCCTCAAATTAGAGTGACAATAAAAAAATCAAAAGAACACATTTAAAAAGCAGATAAATACAGAAAAAGAAGGCTCAGAATTTTAGGTCTAGAAGGCTCAAAGAGTAGGACTGGATTTCTCATGGAATATACCAACAGAAGGACACAGAACACAGAACTCGGGTGTGTTCTGTTCCAAGGTGCCGATATTTGTACATCACACTCTGTTAAGTTCTGCGCATGATCCAAGAGGAAGAAAATCCTCTTAAAGAAGAATGTTAGGACTTGGCCGTTTCTGTTTCCTGTCAGCTGATGTCTTTTGTAAGTGTGTTCAGTGCAGGGGTTTTCTAAGTGTTTGGTCTAGTCTTTGTTCATAAGACAAAAAGAGAATATCATAAATCATAATTTAATAAAAATCCATAGAATTTTGAGCCTAAGACAGAATTTTGTTATAGTTTATCAGGTTTGTTTCCTTTATGTTCCATATAACATAACATAACATAACATAACATAACATAACATAACATAATATATAATTAATATATATACTCTCACCTGGTTAATTTTAATCACTTGCATTTTCATTTAATATTTAGTTCATAGCTCAAATTCTGCTTGAAACTTCTGTGAAACATTAGTGCTCAGTTTCTCATCCTGACCTTGGATCTGTATTGTAGTTTTTCACCTTAACTTCTGATATCCATCCTAAACTCAAGTACCATTTCTCTGGCCATATCTGAATTACTAATATGAGCCCATTGTTTCTATCAACAAAATAACTGTCCTGTGGAAGCTAAGAAAATTGCCTGAAGTCTTGAATATGGCAAAAATAATTTTCATTATTTCTAATAACCAATGATGTAGTTATTCTAAAAAGAAGCTACACAAGCAAGATTTTAAAAGCTCCTCCTTGCTTCCCCTTTATTCCAGTATGTATGTGTGTGTGTGTGTGTGTGTGTGTGTGTGTGTGTGTGTGTGTGTGTGATTGGTGGCATATTCTCAGGATCTTAAGGTTAGAAATGCAGCCTTTACAAATCAGAAATTAGGCTAATATCACCATGTAGCTTTTGATTTAGTACATACACTGACTTTGGAAAGGCTGAGTTAATACATACTGAGGTACAATACTGTCAGTCAATTATTTAAAGAAAGTTTCTGGATGGATGAGAGAAAACAAAAAGTTTCTGGGCTTTTTGGATCTCAGGCATATGACTTGAGAAAATCAGGGTGAATGTTGGTAAGTGACCTTCTCTAGTTAACATAGTAGACTTTGAATTGTTTTGTGTATCGCTTCTCGGCCTTTTGGCTAAGATCAAGTAAATTGTTTTGTAATCCCACTTGAGTGAATTTCCTGGTTTTGGTATTACAGAAATTTTGGAAGGAAGCGTTTTAGTCCAAAGGTGTAATAAATTGGGTTGTCAGAAAAGTCATGATGTATTTTTTCTATGTTTTTTGTTGCAAAAATGCGTCATGACTTTTCTGACAACCCAATATTTTTTCAGATAGAAATCATCCTTGCTTTGGAGTGCCAGCATCTCACAGGAACTCTAACCATGAGTGCTTCAGGAGAATAAGATGAAAACAATGGGAGGGTTTCTGCTCACCTATGTGTGGTGACTGATATTTATATTGTGGTCTCTTGGTAAGATTGTCCTTCACAAATGCTGATTTTTAGTTTGAATGGACCTTTCTGATAGTGTTTTTAGAAATCATCTTTTTAAAATGAGAAAGCATGCATTTCGGAGCAAATGAGCATATATGCTTTGGTATCTCTTCTCCCCGGTATGATAGTTTTTTTTTACAGCAACAGAATGCAAAAATGAGTTTATTAAGTTTACTTAGAAATGATTCAAAGATATCTATGTGAGCTCCATGAGCTATGTCAACATTTTCTTGAAAGATACCTGCGATTATTTGATGTTTACTTTTTTAAGGATAGTATTTGTAAGTTAAAGTGTGCAGGAACATTTTATTACATTTTAAATGTAATTCCTGAGCTCCAGATGCTGTCCATATAAATCTGAACAAACCCAAGACATCGCTATCTATATTAGATCAACAAATCCTCTCACTCCCTGGGCTAGTGTTAAGAATAAGCAGCAAAAGTGAAATTCCTTGGTAATAAAACTTCTGTTTCTTGACAAGTATGATGTAAGGACATTTTTTGCTAGGCTGCCTACACCTTTCAAAGTAGGTTACACTGCACGGTACGATTATGTCTTCCTGTAACCTCTATTTCAAAAGCGCGTGGTGTGTAAATAATACACTTTTCTAACAACTGTTTTAATGGTCACTGTTTTTAAGGTCATCATCACGTGAAATTCAGAACTGCAAAACGCTGAAAATCCAATTTTGCTTCAAAGGAAGGAACGTTTTCTTTTTCTTTCTCTTTTGGTTCTTTTATTCCTATTTCTTAAAATGGCAATCTTGATGAGAATTGGCATACTCATACATCAAACTTCATTTATGCCAACATCAGGTTAAATAATTTTTCTAAGTTTTAAAAAGCACCATGCCATTGGGCATACCTATGTGGGTGATTGCTATGGACTTTTCAGATTATTACATTACACTTTTCTCCTTGCAACCAGACAAATATGATCTTTTCAGGGCCAAAAGACACAAATTTATCTCTTCCTATTGCCCCC